ACTGAAAAAAGCAAAGAGGGTAACATTGTGTCTCCTTTAACCTCTACTCAAAAAGGAAATTCTGATCATGAGTAAAATAAAAGGCTAGTGAGGAGTGAATTTTCAGAGCACTCTATATTTTTCATATTCAATACTCTATTTGGTAAATAATCCATTAAAAGGGCTCTAAAATTAAAAATGCATTTTCAGATATTCAGAAGTTAAAGTAAAAAACTTCAACATGCTATAATTTTAGCTATATAAATATGACAGCTAACTCCAAAATACAGTATTTAGAATTAGAACCCTCTGTTCTCATGAAGATTTACAGGTACAGAAACCCAAAGGGGTGATTTTACTTTGTCCAACAGGGTTGTTATGAGTCAAAATCGACTTGAATTTTTTTTTTTTTAAATATCAACACCATACTCAGAATGCTGGGATCAAAATGTGCTCATCCTCCACTCCCACCTTCCTGAACTGCCTATTCTATGGGAAGTGAGACCCATCTCATCAGTGAAAATCTATTAACTTTCCTCTTCCTCAGTGAAACAGTAAACTGACTCCACTACAGCCCTCGTTCACATCTATCCTTCCCCAACGAAATGTACCTTTTTCATATTAAATGACAAAGAATGACAGGGAGGGAAAACATTCAGAGTCCTTCTGGGCTAGGTCTCTAATTTTTACAATTTGAAATTGAAAACCACTGGTCTGTAATTACCATTTGTCTGCTTTCCAAATTCTGTCTTTTTATGATTGAAAAACTCATCTTTTATTACCACCCCACTCCCCCCAACCCCCTTCAGTGTGGTCTCTTAATTATCATCCTTAGCAACCTCCACTTCACATCGAAGAAGTATCTTATCAATGACTTCATATTGATTGCTAACAAGCCCCAAAAGAGGAAGTGACCTCTTCCTAAAGTCTGTAAGCAGAAATCACAAATGACAAGATGTAATACCAAATCCAAGATGACTAACCTTTTTTCCTTCACCTTTGTCTCCAATGGTTAAATGGAGAAATTCTTGTTTTAATCATTCTAGCCTTTCTGTTCCCGTACATTTTCTTTTCTCCTAATATTTTTTTTCCACACAACATTACTGAAATCTCAGTTGCCTCCCCTGAACTTATTATTAATGTCACTGCTTCAATCCTGTTCTAACATTACTCTTTCACCACTCCTGCTGTTGCCAGTAAACACAGTTGGAGACATTTACATGAAAATAGCTAAGTTTTGGCTGATTCTGAGGTTCAATTACACCCTAGGTCTCACATGGTTTGGCTCAAGTTTTTACACCTACCTTACTGACTACATAGCTCAATGGTTCTCAACCTTCCTAATGCCATGACCCTTTAATACAGTTCCTCATGTTGTGGTGACTCCCAACCATAAAATTATTTTCGTTGCGACTTCATAACTGTAATCTTGCTACTGTTATGAATCGGGCAACCCCTGTGAAAGGGTCATTTGACCCCCTAAAGGGGTCGCCACCCACAGGTTGTGAACCACTGCCTTCGCCCTAAGGGTAAAGCCCCTAATAATATTCTCTGCCTCTGCTCACTTTCAGCTTACCTACCTTTACATCTACTCATCCCTTAGTCTTTCTCTTTTGGTCTTAATGGCAGCACTCCTGATCACCAAAGCTAATCCGGACCAGAGCTTTAGATGACACTCCATGCATTTTCCAAAGGACTCCTAGAGTGTACAATCACATTATCAACAACTCTTCTGACAAAATGCCTATTAACCTTCAAACAAAACCCACTGCTGTCCGGACTCACAGAGACCTTGTAAGACACGGTAGAATTGCCCCATACAGATTCCAAGGCTGCAATTTTTACATAGTCGAACTGCCCCTTCTCTTTTTTGCTAAGCAGCTGGTGGGATAAACCACAGACCTTTGTCAGAAGCTAAGCATTTAACCACTGCACCACCAAGAATTCTAACATTCAAACAGGCCTATGCAAAATTACCACAATCACCAAAGCTGTTAACCTCTTTTTTTCATCCTTTTTCAACTTCAATGAAATTATGTCCAGTTTTTGTTACTTCTTCACAGCACATCAATATTCTACTTCAATTTTCATGTACAATCTGCAGTGGGTTATGAATGGCAGACTTATAGGCAACTTGTACTTGCCCTTTAATGTTACATAAACCCATTCTCATTTTGAAACAATTCAACCCTTACTTGCTAGAAATTCATCACAATCACCTTCACTTACTGCATGTCTAAGTCTTAAATCACTGACAAGGCTTCCGGCCTCTACAAGAACAAACAACCCATGTCCATTGAGTTGACCCTGATGCACAGTGACTGGATCTAGGGCAGGAGTCCTCAAACTTTTTTTTTTTTTTTTTCGTTTTTTTCCCTCAAACTTTTTAAATGGGCCATTTGTCATTCCTGCTTACAGGGGACCAGACCCGTTGAAGGGCAGGACTATAGTTTAAAAGAAAACTATGAACAAATTCCTATGCACACTGCACATATCTTATTTTGAAGTAAAAAAACAAATGGGGCAAAAACACCCAGCGGGCCAAATAAATGTCCTCGGCGGGCCGCATGTGGCCCGCGGGTTGTAGTTTGAGGTTTTCAAGACTAAATGTTTACAGGAGTAGACAGTCGTCTCATTATTTTCCTGCTTTCTTGCACTAAATCAGCGGTTCTCAACCTGTGGGTCACAACTCCTTTGGTGGGGAAGGGGGGCAAATGACACTTTCACAGGGGTAGCACGATTCGTAACAGTAGCAAAATGACAGTTATGAAGTAGCAACGAAAATAATTTTATGGTTGGGGGGGTTACCACAACATGAACTGTATTAAAGCGTTGCAGCATTAGGATGGTGGAGAACTACTGCACTCAATTAAGGCTAATTAAGAACCACATCCATCTGTTCCAACTCACCTACATTTTCACCTTAAAGACTCACCACGACTGACTGCTCTGATTGGAATCACAATAGAAGGTCCTGAACAGAACAGAAGAAAAGTGAAGAACAAAATTCAAGATCATAAAAAAGACCCAAGTTCCTGGTCTGATACAGAGTGGTGAACTCAAGACCATGACCCTTAGACATCCTTCAAATCTGGAACTAAACCCACTGTCAGAGATTACCTTCCAAACAACAAACAGGACATGGAACGACGTGAACCAATTAGTATGAGATCTGGTAAGACCATGAGGAACTTGCTTCTCACAACAATCTATCAATCAACAATCAATATGGGCACCAAAACAAAGCTCAAAGGTAGGAAAAGATGGGTAAATGGAAACAGGAAGTGGGAAGGGTGCCAGTAAATACCATCAGTTGCACCAAATGTGTAAATATTGCTGAATGAAAAATTAATTTGCTCTGTAAATTTTCACCCAAACCACAATACAATGTTTTTTTTTAAAAAGGACACTTAAAAGAAGTGAATCTTGTTCTTAATGCAGGGACAGCCTGTACACATCAATTCCAAATTGGCTTAGAAGGAAATTTCCATACATTGAGTGTCTAACAATCCTAATTCTTGGCCTTTGGATGGACAGCAGGTTAAAGAGTACTAGGAACATTAAGGTAGCACAACCAGGACCACTTTTACATACTATATCCCTAGTATCCAACTAAGGTGGCTTACGTATACATACATAAAAATATCTATGTTCTCCTTTTTACAAAATTTCCAAAGTTCTGGTCCTGTTTGTCTCTTCTCCACATTAGGTAACATCAACCTTCCAAATGGCTATTTAATGTTTTTTCATTATAGTGTTTTCTCCTTTAAAAAGCTCCCTAGAAATTAACAAAAGTCCATGCTCAATACAGGCTACAGGAGTGATCTCTGTATGAGGAAGACATGGGGGTGGGGGAATGTTTCAAAGAGTGTACTGATAATTCTGTTGTTACTAGGACAGAACATTCCAGAAAAGGGAACTTCATCTTAAAAAGCTCAGACACTATTAAGCCTCTACCTTCTTCAGGACTCTCCTAGTGTCTTAGTAAAAAGAAACACTCTAATCATCAGCAGAGAAAAAGTAACATGGAACAAATGAAAACAATAAATGAAAGCTACTTTCACTGTTTCAGAGCTATAGTACTTAATCTGAATGGAAATCAACACTTTTTTTACCCTGTTTAAGGCCTTGGAAGGTAAACCTAATAAAGCAAAATGGAGGGTGAGGCTAAAGGTAATTATAATCCACTGTTGCACTACTGACAGGATAATACTCTAAAACCATCAGTGCTGCTTTTCATTAGATTTTATATGCTAAAAAGTACATTGTCAACCAAAAAAAGGGTATGTTCGTAGTATAACTAATAGTACTTGTCATTTAGCTTATTTTGACCATTTCCAAGCCAAGTACTGTAACATAATACAATATCACAGGCTGCCAAGTAGGACATGTAATATTGTAACATAGTTACTATGTGTTAAAAGTTTTACTTCCATATATAACAAGTTAGTTTAGTAACAATTTGTCCTTGTCTGCAAACACTCTAAATTTTCTTCAGCTTTTAAATGACTATTGATTAAAATCATAACTAAGGAAACTGTGCCCAAAAATTGGGTTAAAATTTTAATTATTACAGAAAAATGGAAGAAACAAGGCTTAAAGACACAATTCCTTCTCTGATAACTTAAAAGAGGTTCTAGAGACTGACCTGACGCCTCTCAATAAACTACTCCATTTCAAAAGGACAAAAGCACCTATGTTTCCAAGGAATGTCTTACAACCCTTAAATATAATCTACTAATAAGTTGGAGTGTGACCTTGAGGAGAATCTCTTCACCCAAAGGATAAATATAACAAGATTATACATTTTAAATATCCCAATTTTTCCAAATGCTCCAAATCTTTCTCTATCCAAGTTTTCACTGGTCCATATGAAAGAAACCAAATTTTAGGTTTGATCTACAGTTCTTGGATAACTTCAGCAAATTATATTATCATCGTTGAGGGGAATAAACTTGCTAAAATTAAACTAAAACAAAACAACAACAACAAAGTTTAGGTGATATTTATTTTCTACTTACGTCAAATTAAATTTAAAATTAAACTGCCATGTTGATGTTCCCGGAGGGTACTCTCCCTGTTCATTCATAAATGTCAGGCCTAGCTGAATTATCTTTAACAAGTCTACATTACATCGCAATAGTTGGTACTGATAGTCAGCGTTGCTCCTGAATTCTCCAATGGGTCGTGCAACCACACCTGGAAACTCGGTGTCCTGTAAAATAGTTTAAGATTCATCATTTACTAAACAAGTATGACCGCAGTTCATAAATTCCTAGAAAATTAATTTCTGAGACCAGCTAAAGAATCCTGTTACCGATGATTATTTTACACATTCATATTCATTTCAGTTCAAATACTTTTTAAAAATTCTGACTAGGAAGAGAACTACTTTTTTGAAACATAAAATTCTTTAAATAACCCTCCCCCCTTTTCAAAACTTTAAATACACCATCAATTAAAAAAAATTCTACATATGATATATATGATAAATGTAAACTTTATACCCAGGGAAAATCACAATCCCAGACCCCCAAAATATATATTCAACTATGCTCACATTATTCTAATGCTAACTCAGTTTTTGGTTAAAAGGCAGAGCAGAAAATGCACTGTATTTTTCAATTGTTTCTCTGATGTGTCTATTTAAACAACAAAACCTTCCATGGAAAGCAATGTTATCCTAAATCCAGCTTAAGCAATACTATTCACTCCACAGAAAGCTTGTTAAAACTCTCATGCCACTCACTCATTCTGTAGGACATCCCTTCTAATCTTGCCACTCCTTACCATTAAAACAATATGAATGTTCAGTAGGTAGAGAGTAAGTTTAAATTCTGAGTAAGTATAGCTTTATGGAATCCTGGTTGGTGCAGTGGTTACACAGTAGGCTGATAACTAGGTGGTCACAGTGGTTTGGACCTATCTTCTCTACAGGTGAAAGATCTGACAGTCCGTTTCCAAGAAGATTCATTCTTAACTCTCCGGGGCAGTTTTACTCTGTCTTATATTGCAAAAGGTTTGGTTTGGTTTTCTACTAAGGTGGGCCCTCTGGTGGTGTAATATTCTGCTAACCAAAATATTAATGGCTCAAATTCTGAAGTTGCATCACAGGAGAAAGATGTGGCAGTTTGTTCCCATGAAGATTACAAATGGTAAAAAACTGATGAGGCAGTTCTAATCTGTCCTACAGAGACACTACAGGGTGAAATCAACTTGAAGGCAAAAGGTATGGTTTGTTAAGGAGCTGTAGTGATTTGCAATGGTTAAGTGCTCGGCTGCTAACTGAAAGCTTGATGGTCACCACCAGCTGGTCTGCAGAAGAAAAGACTTGATGGGTCTTCTTTAAAGATCTGTAGCCTAGGAAACCAAAGAGGGCAGTCCTACTGTATCATACATGGTTGCTATGAGTTGGGATTGATGGAAATGCCCTTATTAATGGAATATCCTCTATAGATACACAAATAGAAGTTCAACATATAACTTTCTCCTCCTCAACGAAAAAGATTTTTTTTTTACTTATTTGTATTCCAAATACTGAGAAAATCTCAGCAATATTAGAATTCAAACTAGCTAAGAATAAAAAGCATCAGGTCACTGTAAAAAAAGAAATGAAATGTTCTCTAAATTCAGTCCAATTCAAAATCTTTTCCAAGTGCTAAATAAATTACACTGGAAGCCGAATTGATTCTATCTTCATGGGCTGAATTTGTTATTGGAGAGTAAACAGTACAGAACCAACCACAGATACACAAGGTAAAATAGAACAGAAGAAACACAACTGGGTAGGAGACATTCAAAAGGAGAGAGAATACCAATTTGTGCATAGATCTCTGGTAATAATTAACAAAAAAAGCAAGTCAATAATGTTTCACTGAGAGATCTGATATTTTTATTTGAAAAAGTTAAACAAAAACACCAGGAGCTCCATGGATATTAGAAGCTGGTCTGTATAACTGGCTAGGCTTTTATGTTGCAAGGGCCTGACCTAGTACTCATGGATAAGCCCAAATATTCTTTTGAATTTGAATGATTTCACAGATTATGTCTGAAAACACAAACAGCCTCAAACCACAAAAATTACTATCTATGTCAAAATGTTGGCAAATATGAGTAACTGCTGCTTTACAAGTTTCGTCTCATTCTAGTCTTCTTGATTTGAGGTAAGATTTACTAAAACATCCAATAATACAATTATTCTGGCTTTCTTTCAGCATCCAATCCAGGCCACAGCCTTGTTTCCTTAAACTTCCTTAAAATTACCTGGAACAAGCCCCAAACCTAAAAATCATAATACTGACTTAGGTAAATGCCCCAAGTTTCCTTATCTTCCACTAAATAACAGACTCAACTTGTCAAGTTACATGAGTATTCCTGGTGGTTACTGGTTGGAGGTATTAACAAGTTTTATTTCTCATAAAGTTAGTTATTAGACATCAACAGAACAGCTGAACTAAAGACATTTTCAAGCCTCTTTCCCCATTCTTGGGGTGCCCTGGTAGAGTAGTTGTCATGCATTGAGCTGCTGAACCAAAGGTCAACAGTTCCAAACCACAAGCTTCTCTGAAAGGTAAGGCTTTCTGTACCTTCAAATAGTTAAGTCCTACAGGGTTGCCATGAGTTGGAACTGACTTGACGGCAGTGTTTTTGGTTCCCCCTTCCATAAAGAAAGAAATATTTTAAAGATTTAGTGAGACGCATACCATAGCAACGTAATTATATTTTCGGATAACTTGACGAATTTTCTTCATCTCTTCATCCAAGTTGCAAGCCCAAACTTCACAAATTCTTTGGCTGTGATCTACAGTTGCTGCTGGCATAGTGAGGGCAGAAAGGGTCTAGATGCCAAGCATCAAAATATTACACTTGATTGAAGATTTGACTCATAAAATACTTTATCCTTTATTTGTGTACCTGTCAAAAAAAGGTAAAAGCCGGTCATACATGAAAATTGAAATCACAGAATAAGAGTTGACAGAGGCCTAAGAAATAGTTGGTTCAAAGCTTTAGAATTACAAGAAATAAACCTTTATGAAGTGAAATTTCTAAGGTCATGCATCTAATCTGTAGAACAACAGGTTTCAATGTATTTTTGAAAAAATTACTCTTGTTTTTCAAGTATTTCCTCTAATTACTTTGAATTTAACTCACCTTTTGAATAAACCTTCATTAAGTCATTCATATCCATGCAAAAATGAAAAGTTGTGACAAGATCAGATGGCACAGAACTAAAATGATTGCTTTTATTCATTAACAATACGTTCAAAATCTGACCGCAGAATTGACTTAAGTTTACTCACATCAGATTTTAGGTGTAAATTTAAAAGCAAAAACACGAGCTTTTGGAGAAATAATAGGACTATTACAAATTGTCAGATTGCCTGTAACTGCTAAAAATGAAAACCATGCCTGTGTGCATTTAAATGGTTGTTTCCACTTTCCTACAAAGTGGCACGTATGCCCTTAATGCCTACCACACACATCTTACGTTTCTGAGCCATAAACACAAGAGTTCATGGTAGAGAATAACAGACCAACCTTTTGATTCTTCGGTAAGGAAATCCAAAATACGCCTTTTTTTTTTTTCAGGCAAAAACAAGGTTAAAAGGAAGGATTTTATGACCCCTTCAGAACTGTGCAGTCACAAAGGCAATTTCGTGGGCTCCACGAACAGAAACCGAAAGAAGTTCGGAAAATCGCTTCTTTATAGTTCCCCTTTCCCGCCCCGCTAAGTGTACACACGTACACACACACACAAACACACTCTGGAAAGATCCCTAAGTTTAGCATTGCTTCCCTTCACCTCTCTCTACAGCACTTCCAGAATCTTCTGGCATCTCTGTGATGCTGGCTACAAAGAAACAAGAGGTGCCGCACAGAGAGCGCCTTCGTGTCATAGGTAACTCTTCTCTGGCAAAAAGCCAGTGCGAAGGTGCTGATCATTATTTACGGGATCAGACTTAGTCCCAAGCATTGCTGTGTGAAGGGATGAGAAGTTGCGAATCCAGACCACCGCCCTCCGCTACCAATTTCCGCCCCACAATATCGAAGACCCAGGTACAAAGCCTTTACGTCATCACCGCGCGCCACCACCGTGACAGACTCCAACCTCAGTTATCCTCCCCTTACCCCTCCCCCCTCCCTCCCCCAAGCTCTTTCCTCCACCAGCCGTACTCCAGCGGGCGCCATCGCGCACCCTCTCAGGTTCATCGTGCCCGCCCCCTTTCTACTTCCCCAACCTGCCCCTCCCCCCCCATATGCGGCAGACGCAAAAACTACTTGTGTCGCTGAGCTCGCGTTCCTCCTCT